GTGGTTGTCACAACAGGTGGGTGTGCTGTAGGGACCCTTACCTGTGTTGCTTCTTCCTTCAGCTCCGTGGCATCACATCGAGAACCTAGACCTCTTCTTCTCTCGAATATCCTTTCGCAGGGTGGGGGTCAGGCGGGGTACAGCCCACTGCCTCCCGAGCTCTCAGTGTGGAGGAAACATAGGTTTTGGTGCACCTTGGAGCTTGGGCAGTGTCAGCCCTTTCCTGTAGGACACTGTACAGCTCCAGAGGGGCTGGCAGAACCCCCATGCCTTGGGATGCTGTCACCCGACACTCAGGGGACAGGCATGTTCTTCTAGGGACTCTTGGCACAGGGATAACAGTACTAAGTTGTAGTTAAAATTAATGCTTTATTTTCTTAACAGGATGTTATTATTAGCATAGCATTTATATTCTGAGTAGCACAGGATTTCTGTAAGCAGAATCAGTGTAGTATAATTTTATGGACAACTTAGCACAGAATTTTATAACACTGTTTAGCTTATGGTTTCTAATTGCCTGGACTCTCTGCAGATCAGGTCATACCTTAATGCGTGGTTTGTTGTAACAGTATAACAATCATAACATAGACTCAAAAGTCATAGAATACTAGTCACTCACTCAGTCCTCAGAGGAAGCAGATGATAATGGGGGTGTCCCTGGCTACTGGGTCACACTGTCCAGCAGCAGTTCCGATACAAGTTCTCACTTAGGACTTGTAACTCCTTGATTGTGTGGACAGTGCTCTGGGTACAGTTACACTTCCCTGTTCTCTGTTGGGGCCATCATCTCTGTTGGGTTGGCCAGGTGCCTGGGACCTTCAAGGACAGCATGGGAGAGAGTAGTTGGCCTGATGCCAAGGAATCTTGAGGCCGGTAGGGAGGGGAAGAAGAAATCAGTTTCGTTTGTCTACTTGGTTCACAGGACCTTCAGGGCCTGGTAATTGGGGAGAGGGTGACCTGCTAACAGGTGACCCTCTCAGTCACAGAGTATAGCCTTATGAAATGGTGTCAGCTGTGCTGACCACATTGCCAGGGTCAGGAGAAGAGGGTACACAAGTGCTAGGTGCCATTAAATGGATTTTTGCATGTGTGTATGTTGTCTTGTCCTTCCCTACCCACCCTTGTGCAGCCTGAGGGTAGGATGAATTCCTGCACTGCTGGGACAGACCTTGCTCTGGGTGTTGGGTGGGGGAAGAAAGAAGCATGGATGAAGCCAAGTACTTGTACCCTACCTATGCATTACCTGGGCAGAGCATGTTTCCCTGCAGTGGGGAACCAGCTTGCTGATGAGTATAGGTGCAAGGGATTTTCTGTTGGTGGTAAAGGTAGACTTATCTGGGGAGCTGTGGAATACCAGTGGGACAGAAGCCTCTCCATCCTTCTGCAGAGAGGAGTCTCCAGGCTGTTCTCCTTGACTGTAGCTTTCACGTCTATAACCTGCATCAGAAGAATGGCTTCACTTGCATGCTCATTGGAGAGATCTTCGAGCTCATGTAAGTGCGTGTTTCCCCTTCATTGTGGTTGTGACAGCTGCTGGGGAACAGCCACAGGAATTTGCTGAACTCTTCCAGATGGGTGGGCAGGAAGGCTCCTTTTGTATGTGTCCTGTCTTCCCTTCATTAGGGTTTCCTCACTTTGAGGAACCATTGCCTGTGAGCTTTCCTGCTGCCATGGCTCTGGGAATGCATCTCCATGACATGTTACCCTCCCTAGCTGCTTCACATTTTGAGGGGGAGCAGAAGGGTTATTCCTTCATGCCTGCATCTCTATTTTTCACAGGCAGTTCATCTTCGTGGTGGCATTCACCACCTTTCTTATCAGCTGTGTTGATTATGACATCCTCTTTGCCAACAAAGCATTAAATCACAGCCAGCATCCCAGTGAGCTCATTAAGGTGACTCTGCCAGATGCCTTCCTGCCTCCAAATGTCTGCAGTGCAAGGTAGGGACAGTGGAGAGCATGTTTGCCACTGCTTTTGTTTTCTCAAGTACTCAGGACACCTGTCTGGGCCTGTCTCCCACTACTTGCCTTTTCTTGCTTGCAGAATCCAGGCAAACAGCTTCCTCATCTGCATCCTGGTGATAGCTGGGGTTTTCTGGATCCACCGACTTGTCAAATTTATCTACAACATTTGCTGCTACTGGGAGATTCACTCTTTCTACATCAATGCCCTGAAAATCCCCATGGTAAGTAGCTGAGGCAAGGACAACGTGTGGGACCACTGAGGGTGATGGGAGGCATGTGCTAGGTGCTTAGAAGCAGCTTCCCTTCATGTCTCTCCAGAGACAGCTTCTCTATCAGACCTGTACAGAGCGCTCTTCTCTCTGCTCCATAACCACATAGTTTCCTTTCAGCCTCTTCCCCAACAGCCAGCTTATTCCATGTTAACCCCTCTCTGCCCAGCCTGCTGCTCTGCCTGCTGGCACATGCCTCTGCCATCTGCCACACAATATGTTTGTTCTTCAGTGATTGGCCTTTTCTGTGATGCCTTTCAACAGAGAAGGCATAAGTGAGGATATCCGTGTAGCTCCCTGAGTTGTGGACAGCCTCATCTTCGTTGTTTACTGGGAGCGGGGGGGCAGGAGGGAGGAACTGAGGCATGAAGCTACTTAGTTGGGTGAAGATCACACAGGAGACTGGTGTGTCAAAGATGGGGTTTGAGGCTTGCACAAACATCCTAGTCCAGAGTCTTTGCTCTGGTGGACAGCATGAAAAAGTGTGCACACAGGCTGTGAGGGGAGAAAGTGTCTTGAGAAAAGTAGGGTGAAAGTGAAGCCAAGAGGTTTGGTTTGTCCCCAGCTTTTCCACAGGCTTCCTCTGGGATGCTGCTTAATTCCCTTCCCCTGTTCATGTCTTCCCTGCTGATGCCAAATGGCAGCTCTTAGAGGACCCATGAGTGCCTGGTGCAGTGTTTGTACCTCTAAGGCAGCTGGTGCGTCAGTGGCTGGGAAACGGTCATCTGTGCTAATCTAAGGGTAAAGGGCACCAGGGCAAGGTGTGGAGTTTGCCCACTGCAGGCTGAAGCAGTGCAGGGAGGTGCCTCATGTCCTGGTGTTGCATGGGCTTTGTCAGCACTCTGAGGCATGTGCTGGGACCTGCTCCTTCAGTATGCTCAGCCTGACTACTATCTCTAATCTTGATGCTTTTCCCCTTCCAGTCCACCCTGCCCTACTATACCTGGCAGGAGGTGCAGGCCCGCATCGTGCAGATCCAGAAGGAGCACCAGATCTGCATCCACAAGAAGGAGCTGACAGAGCTGGACATCTATCACCGCATCCTCCGCTTCAAGAACTATATGGTGGCCATGGTGAACAAGTCGCTGCTGCCCATTCGCTTCCGCCTGCCCCTGCTGGGAGACACTGTCTTCTACACACGTGGGCTCAAGTACAACTTTGAGCTCATCTTCTTCTGGGGGCCTGGCTCCCTCTTCGAGAATGAGTGGAGCCTGAAGGCTGAGTACAAGCGGGCTGGGAACCGCCTGGAGCTGGCTGAGAAGCTCAGCACTCGCATCCTCTGGATTGGCATTGCTAACTTCCTCCTCTGCCCCCTCATCCTCATCTGGCAGATCCTCTACGCTTTCTTCAGCTACACAGAGATCCTGAAGCGGGAGCCGGGCAGCCTGGGTGCCCGATGCTGGTCTCTCTATGGGCGCTGTTACCTCCGTCACTTCAACGAGCTGGATCATGAACTGCACTCACGTCTCAGCAAGGGGTACAAGCCAGCTTCCAAGTACATGAACTGTTTTATCTCCCCACTTCTCACCATCGTGGCCAAGAACGTGGCTTTCTTTGCTGGCTCCATCCTGGCTGTGCTCATCGCTCTTACCATTTATGATGAGGATGTGCTGGCAGTCGAGCATGTCCTGACCACAGTCACCCTGCTCGGGGTGGGCATCACAGTGTGCAGGTGAGGTGGTTCTGTGCTGTCCCTGTGCTCCTGGCAGCACAGTGGGGAGCAGTGGGGCTGGCAATAATCCATGTAAACATGCTCTTTGCTTGCAAATGGATGTGAATGTGCCTCAGTGAGGGGCACAGCTGGGAAGAGCCAAAAGCAGGCAAGAGAAAGGGGGTGGTAGTGATCCTGGGTGCAATGGTTGTATGATTTGAGGGGCTGGGCTGGCAGGAAGGTTTGGCTTGGGCATGAAGGCTACAGGTGGAGCGGTGATACAGGCTGGTCACCCTGCTCTCCCAGGATGATATCTCCCAGGAACTGAGGCGTGATGCTGTGTTGTCATGTCCTGCAGGTCTTTCATCCCTGACCAGCACCTGGTGTTTTGTCCAGAGCAGCTGCTGCGAGTCATCTTGGCACACATACACTACATGCCTGACCACTGGCAGGGCAACGCCCACCGCTATGAGACCAGGGATGAGTTTGCACAGCTCTTCCAGTACAAAGCGGTGAGCTTGGCTTGCATGGGGCTGGGATGGGAACTCATCTCCATCCCTGCAGCAGGGAGAAGCTGCTGGAGAGCTGAGCAGCTCCTGTGCTGGCAGAGGAATATGACAGCATTCTCAGAGACACCCTGCCCCAGAAGATGGAGGGCCGGAATTGGGGGCTGGCTGTGGGATTGTGGGGTTTTTAACATCCTCAAGCTTGTGCTGAGCCCATCATCTGTGTGGTCAGGTCTTCATCCTGGAGGAGCTCCTGAGTCCCATCATTACCCCCCTGATCCTAATCATCTGCCTGCGGCCCAAGTCCTTGGACATCGTTGACTTCTTCCGCAACTTCACCGTGGAGGTGGTGGGTGTGGGCGACACCTGCTCCTTTGCCCAGATGGATGTGCGCCAGCATGGCCACCCGGCGGTAGGTCCCATGGGTGGTGGGAGAGCAGCCTGGGATGCCCACCAGCATGTCTGGTCCTTTAGAGCCATGAGAGGCCCTAACTCACTGCTTCTGGCAGGTGACAGCCTGGCCACTTGTTTCTCGATAGGGTGTCTGGGTTTGCTAATACAGATCACCAGCCCCAGAAAGCTCTTGTGGCCCAGCTGTGATTACTCACCAGATATTCGTGAACTAGGCTTAGTCATTTCTTTGATGTCATTGCCTGTCTTCACAACCAAGAGTCCTGGGTCCTCAGGAGAGAAGAATAGGAATATTTGGACATCTAGAAAGAATGACAACTGAGAACTGACATAAAGAAGCTGGGCTGCTTGCGCACAGGAGAGGGGCAGCCTCCAGGAAATGGGAAGCATTTTCCATTATGTAAAGTGTAGTATGGAGGGAAAAGGGATCCGTCTGTT